TGATTACTCAATGAAACCAGGTTGGACTGATCAATTCTATGTACCAATTGTCCAGGGAGGAAATAACACTCTTTCTTGTGACATGAAATTAGGGGAGAAATATGGGTTTTTTGAGTTGTTTAACTTGAATAATACTCATATTTGTCATACCACTGAGGTTTGTTTTTGGAAAATACATGAAGATGGACCATGCATGTTGTTTGCAGGCAAATGTGTGTTCTTCAAATGGAGTGCTAACTCAACTAGGGATACTGCAAGTGAACCAACGAGATATGTTGCAAGTGAACCGGTAAGACATGTTGTAAGTGAATCAGTAACATATGTTGCAAAATCGGTGACACGCGTTGCAAGTGAATCAGCTAGATATGTTGCAAGTAAACCAATGAGATATGTTGCAAGTGAATCGGTCACACATGTTGCAAGTGAACCAATAAGATATGTTGCAAGTGAACCGGTGACACGCGTTGCAAGTGAATCAGCGAGAAATGTTGCAAGTGAACCAATAAGATATGTTACAACTGAACCGGAGAGATATGTTGCAAGTGAACTCGTGACACATATTGCAAGTGAACCAGTGAGACATGTTGTAAGTGTACGAACAAGACACGTAGCAAGCAAACCAGTGAGATATGTTGCAAGTGAACCAACGAGATATATTACAAGTGAACCAATGACATATGTTGCAAGTGAACCGGTGAGATATATTGCAAGTGAACCAGTAAGATATATTGCAAATCCTTAGTAAATCCATGAAAATGTAGGATTTATTTACATGATATGAAGTTTTATGAAATTAATAGGAAATTTGATAGATTGAGTATAAAGAAATGATACTTGTTATTTTGATTGTTCTTCCCAAGCTTCAAATCTCATTGGGGTTTATCTGAAAATGATTACATTCACATTAAATCTTGAAAACCTTGTATATCCTGATCATATAATAATTTCAGAAGGAGGCCTTTTTTTTTAAATTAGGAGAAGGCTTTTATTAACTAAGGTTAATAATAAAGTTAGGGTTTTTTTTTAAATTAGGGTTTACTCTGTCTTATGTTAAGCAATTTATATTGACAAGAATAAAGTTACAAGAGAACAATTTTAAATTATAAAGGATCAAAACTGATTAAGAATATATTTAAAGAATCACATTATACCTACCTTCAAAAATATGAAACATTTTAGTTATTTTCTCTTCTTTTTAATGTGAAACCATTTTTGACAGGGAATCCATTTTTTACTCGATTTTAGTTATCCAACAATGAGTTAAATCATGTCACAACACCAACAATTCTCGATTTCTGGATGCAAATATATATATATATATAAATGGCCTAACTTGGCAAGTACAGTATCACTTTTTTGGTTGACAATCAATTAAATAACTTCACAAAATTAAAATACCAATTATTTTGCATAATATATTTTCATTTCTTGCATGCTTGAAACAAAAAGTAAGGGAAATTTAGGCCTGACTTGGCATGTATCACTTTTTTGGCTTTCCTTCTTTCATTTGGTTACTCTGATTTCCCCTATAATTGTTTGATTTATTTTCCTTCACGTGGTTGTCCTTCTCAACGATGGACAAGCAAAAATAATTGTAAGATAAAAATTTAGTTCCGCCCTATACTTTATTTAGTAATTAATCTTGGGTAAGTTATTTCGGGATTAAAATAGTACTAGGATAATTTATACGCCTACCAGATGGTGGAATATTAATCTTAAAATAAGTTATCATAGGATAAAGCAGTAAAATTAACAACCCCAAAATTAATACAACATACCAAACAATCAATAAGAAATAATAGCAGGATATATAATTAATCTCAGCATAACTTGTCTTCAAACCAAACGAACCCCAAGGAAATTGGAGGCCTAGCTAGGTATTACCAAATTGAGCGAGAATATCACATCCCTCGCTCTTTGTAGTACGAGCGCTATCTGATTTCAGTATCTGAACATATCTCTATCGAAGGGAGTCTTGGAGTAATGATAAAGTTTTCTCTGTATAATTTATAGGTCACGGGTTCAAGTCGTGGAAAAGCCACTAATGTTTGCATTAAGGTAGGCAGTTTACATCACACCCCTTGGGAGGCAACCCTTCTCCCAACCTCCTGAACATGGAATGCTTTGTGCACCGAGTTATGTTAAAAAAGATGGTTATGAGACTAGTGCAAACAATATATTGAAATAGTAGATTAAGTAGTGTGCTTTCTGGAGCCAACGACCCACTAAAACTAACCTATCTACAAGGCGTGAATACGAGATGCCAGCGGAATGATTGGCCGGACAGAGGCTAGGGCTGCTTCCTTCCCGCTGTGTCCTTCCTTTTGTATCGGAGAAATAATGTCTCAAGTGCATCAATTTTCCGAGAATCTTTCTGTATGTTATATACGAAAAATATAATTTTATACACTTTTGTGTCTACCGAATATAAATAGTTTTAGTTGCGAGCTAAAAGCGATCTTTGCCCAATTATCTTGGCCGTACTAAAGTCATCATCATGGCTCCAGCATTGTGGCAATAGTCCCAACTATTTTCGCATGGCTGCGAAGGCTTGTAAGCTTCACCTTATAATCAAGCTTAGGATAAACAAAAAAATGTGCAAATTAAAAAATATTAGTATCTCATTATTTGGGAATTCTTAATGATATGGGAATATTTTGGCTTGAATCTTGGTCTAGCAGTGAAGGATATGGATTTGAAGCTAATTAAGAAGGGTTTAACATATAATTTCGACAAGTATTTGGGAATTTCTTCTACCGGCATTGATCTACGAGATCAATTTTTGTCAATATAATCGAATGATTCTATCCGAGGGATCCCAAAATATAAAGATATGGTGCTTGAAATATTGCTTTTTTCTTCCTTGTCGAATATGCCTTAAGCTTTATGCTCAATGAGTAATGATTATTTTCAAATATCATTCTTTTTTTGCGAAAATATTCAAGATCGATGTCTCAATTTAAATAAAAAATTATGCGTAATTTGTTTTTATAAATGTCGAGAGAAAGTCTTAGTCTTTAAAATGCATCGCAAAGAGAGATAGTTCCTATAGATGTGAGTAACATTTATATTTATATGGAGATAAACGAGCATACGATTTTGTGAGATGAGATTGGAAGCTCATTACACATTGAACATAAAGCTTGGCCTATCAATTCACATAATACCTGAATTTTCTTAATCAATTTCATAGAACATCAGTACAAATTTCATGGATTTACTAAGGACTTCTCTTCAAAATGAAGGGTCCAGTTGTAGCATATCTCAGTTTTTCAGTTGCAATATGTCTAGTTGAAGGGAGTTTTTCTTTGACTTGGTGACTCAAACCGGTAGGGGTAGCAAACGGGTGGGTCGGGTCGGATATGAACAGGTCAAAACGGGTAATTTAAAAAACGGATAAATTATCCGACCCAACCCGTTTTTGAGATGGAGAAAAACGGGTTTATCCGGCGGATAATATGGATATCCATATTATCCATGGCTTCTTAAATATGATCACTTATGAGACAATTCCTAGTCTTCCAAACTTGAGGAACTCCAATTTGAGGCTTTACAAATGTAAAAATTAAACACATTAGTTATCCATTGATTAACCATTTTCTAAGTTGATAATAATAATATGGTTCTTTATCCATATTAGACCCGTTTTTAAATGGTTCATTATCCAACCCATTTTTTGATGGATATATAATATGGGTAGATAACTGTTTTCTTTTAACCATTTTGCCACCTCTACAAATTGGGAAGAACTGCAGAGTTAGCATCCCATTTGAAGAGCAAACATTTACCTGCAACAAACATGCATAATCCATCTTCATGTACATTCCAATAACAAAATACATTAGGAGTGTGATAAATGTTAGTATTATTCAAGTTAAACAACTCGAAAAACCCATGTTTCTCCCCTAATTTCACGTCACAAGAAAGGGTGTTATCCTCTTCAGGAATAATGCTCAAAATGAATTCAGCAGAATGATCTGGTGCCATTATGATTTCGCCACGAATCTCAATTCCATGTATGTAACATCTTGCCGATGCTGTACTTGGAGTTTCATTTTTCACAATAACATCGATCGGGTAATCAACGGGGATCTGTGAATTAACTGATGAAAATGCTAAGAAACTAAGTAAGAAGAAGTAAAGTACTAAGTAGTGTGATGAGGAAGGCATGATGTTTTTGTTTCTTGTTATACTTGGTTTTCTTGTTATTGTTGGTCCAAATTATAGTGATTATTGTGTGTTCATATGGTGTTGGACAAAACTTCTTCATTAATGATTACAGAGATAACAACTTCTTATTGAAGCTGTTTAACCAGTCCTACCAAGAAGTCTTACCAACTTGGAGATTTTCTGTTGACTAGTTTCAATTTAAATTTACTTTTAGTATGAGCTTAGCAACTTTTTGCCCCTTGTTGGAAAGTAGGAAAATTATGCTAAAAGAAGGGAAAACTGGTAGAAATTTGCATATCTTGTTCAGTTTAACAAAGCATAAAAGGAAGGTAATTAGTGTTCCTAATTGACAAAGTTCCATATTTTAGTGACACAAATGCATATTGTTGGAACACAAAGTTAATACCTGTAAGTTTTCAACTAACAGTCAAACAACAAAGCACTACATAATACATATGAACACATAGGCTGAAAAGAACTCATATTAATTGTTTACAAATGAAGTTGCATCACCTTTGTGGAGTTCATTTCTCATTACTGGGTAGTCGAAATTTTCATATATTATACTCTTTTAGGCTAAAAACATTTAATCTACTGTAAATGAGACACAACTATATCAGGCAAGCCCATCTAATCTGGCATTTGGGCTAAAAATTTACTTCTTAGTTTTCTTGAAGAGGAAAACCAAAATACTTCTTTGAACCTGCTAAAGTACCGATGCACTAACATAATTTTTAAATAAATTACATTCTCTTTTTTCTCTTTTGATAAAGTTAAATTAGATTCCCAGAAATATGTCTGGGAAGAACAGTAGAGGTGGAACTACAACAGGAAGCGTAGACTCTGAGCTATATACCTTGATATGATTAAAAATCCCGTTATACATCCATAATGATACTAAGCTCACACAAATAATCATATGCATTAGAGTTAAGGTTTACATGCAAGTGATAGTTTGACACTTTTATGAGAAACCTACATCAGGGTGATACTAACTCTCCACTTCTGTTCAAATATCTGAAAAATTCAGTGAGATAAATTAGGACATACTAATTCAAATGTTTTTTATAGATACCATCTCCATAGCTGGAAAATTTACAGAGTGATTCGGAGAACTAGCAGCTGGCATACTATTGAATGTAAACAGTATTATGACATTGATAAATCTTACCAAAATGAGTACAGACACAGAGCAGGGAAGAAGTAATCTTCTGGAATATTTTCAGTTTGAAATTACTGCACTCATTTGCTGCATAAGTATCTCTTCAACTCTATCCGCGAAGACTGAGATAGTCTGTCGTGAATTTGTATCCAACGAGTTTGCCACTTCCTAAAAACGTTAAATGAAGCAAAGATCAGAAGGCCAAAAAACTTGAATCATACCAAATCAGTCAAATAGTTTTCTAACTTTATGGTTGTACTAGACTCATAACATCATAGAGACAATAGGCCAGCCTTCCCTTTCTTTCCACAAGAAAAAACCACATTAGCATGAAATTTTGCATTCATACAAAACTCATTCAAACCTCTTTCCTATCAATTGGAAAATGCTATGTGGACCATTTGAATACTTTAACCTATTATGCAGGAAATACCTAATATCAGAAAATTTGGAATTTAGTGAGCTAGCTAGGTCCCAACCAGCACTATGTATTATCAGCATTTTGCACAATTATGTTAACTAAAATGACCTTCCATGTGAACAATCTGAATTAAATTCCCTTTTTTATGGCGTGCTACGTCCCAATCAGAATTACATAGCATCACTACTGCACAATCATTCAATTGAAATGACCTTTCACGTGAAAACTCAGAATTTAAATTTTTTTTGTTTGATTGCATGCTTAACAAGCTTACTGGAAATCGGTGTTGTTAGAGGCACATGATAAGGAAAGAAAGACTTCTCATTCTTTCAAACTAAAAGTTAATAAACTAGCTCAACACAGACGTTGGAGTCAAGCATGACAAGAGCTACATGTCCATATACGTCAAAGGTCAAGTGTGAAATCGATCTTCCCTTCAAGGCTGTCGCTTCATGGTGCACATTACCTCATTGTTTCAATCTTTTTAATTCTTAGAGAGCACTGAGAATTTGTAGTCATACTTTTCATTTCCCTTTAACCCTTACAGACCTTACAAATTCAGGTTAAATTACCATTCACGATGTAAATGTTACATCTATTATTGGTTAACAGTCCAAACCCAATAGGACTTTCAACAGTCAACACAAAACTTTCCAGCACTGATTTGAAACAGCTATAGTCTTCAACAGCCCTACCAATGAACAACTTACCGCAACCTTGCAAAGGACGGTCAAAGGTATTTCTTTTGAGGAGTGACTTGAGCTCTTCAGAGACATCAGCGTTAAACCAGAGCTAGTTAGTGGCCAACCTTGAAGTGGCTTTATGAAAGCATCGATTCCACCAACCATATGAGCTACTATCATCTCCTCTCTATCCATGTATTCAAATGAATGCCTGTTTGATTCGAGTAGAAATAAGTACATAAGCTAAAAGAGATCAAATAAACGCGACATCAGACAACAAGGGAAAAAACACTCAACGTCACTATAGGATATATTTGTGGGGGGTTAATGAACGGCTTTTGTTAACTAGACAATATACGAACATCCAACATTTTAAATCTATTACCGGTGGCGTATCTACACTCCACATAGTGAACTTGGGTTCACATGAACCCATGCTTACACCCCCAACTTCTATATAGTAGTGTATATAATTTCTGGGAACGATTGCAATTGGGAACCATTGCCAAGAATGTGGTGCAATGGTTATGAATCGGCAACTTCAGTGGAGCACTGGTTATGTTGGCAGTATGTTTAATTTGCTTTCAGGAGTAGGATCGATCTACCATACAGAACTTGTTCATTTTTAGTTTTATTTTCGTTTCTTTCAGTTCTTTCAAGTAACTTTTTTTCTAATCACTATTTCTTCCCGACCCCTGTCCCAGGAACTATATGTTTGGTAGTGGTGCACCTTTCCTTTAGAAATCCCAGATCCACCACTGTCTATTACCTGCCATCAAACACAATCTGTCTTAGAAAGATCTCTAACACATGGGAAAACAACTCAAGATGTCATGTTAAGTGGTATGACCAATTCTTCTAACCAAACATCTCCGCACAGAGTAAATTCTCCATTTAATAGACCATTTATCAACTGGAATTTTGTTCCCCTTTTCCCCTGTGTTCTGTGATGGTTCTCTGGCAGCAACCCGGGTATGATTCTGCTTCCTTGTTGATTTTGTATTTGATCTGTTCCTTTCCACATGAACTTCGAAATTTATTGGCAATGTTCTCCATCCCCCATCTTGAAATACTTCTGAGTAATGATCGCCAATCTTCTGCTCTCTTGTGTCGGCTTGACGTGTGCATACCCATTGTATCTGTTAAAGTTATTGAAGTTTTCGTATGTATAAATTTTATAGCTTTTCTCCACCTTCTAAAAAATTCTCCGGTCCCTTCTAAAGTCAGGACTACGATTTTACATATTCCCTCTTATTCAATTTATGAAGCTTCTCCTCCTTTCATCACATTCATACAATTTAGCACATCTTCTTCTACTCCATTAGTTTCAAAGCATTCCGCAGCGATAGGAAGAATGGCCTCCTTAACATGATATCAATGTAAATATAGACTTTGATCACCTTTCCATAGCTGCAGAGTAGGCTTATGTTACTCATTGATCTAATCTATTACTCACATTAAGATTCAGATCAATGATTTCTCGGAGAATATCGTGTATAAACTGAATCTCTCTCTCTCTCTCTCTCTCTCTCTCTCTCTCTCTCTCTCTCTCACGAATAGAGGAAGACAAGAATATTTAACAGCCAAAGATATAAGAAAATAATTAAGAAATAAAATAGTTGTACTCCATCTACCACTTCAGATTCCATTACATAGTTAAGTCACAGTTATGAACTCCGCTTTGAACTCTTAAACGATTTCATATTTATCCCAATAGCCCACTTACTAAACCACCCATTCAACACAATATTTCAGCGCTGCTCCAAAGCCATAAACCCCTCAACGAGATACACATGATAAAAATCCATCCCTTGCTTCTTCTCAGATCTCTCACATACCAGCATAACTCACACCTTTTTTAGTAGAGCAGAATTTTCCAACTAGTCTTGAGATTTAATTCTGTGACTTACTTGAATTGAGCTGTTTTAGTTTGTTATTAACAAGTTGCATCCTGTGCTGCTCATCTTAAGACTTGTAATTCCTAAGATAGGCCCCATGCCACACTCCTTAATTTTGTCCTTCGGAAGCAACGAAAACCCGTTTGATATGTAATAAAAGCATGGAAAACGAGACGTAGCTCTCCCTCCGTAGCATACAAGCAGTGCATCCTAAGGTACAAATAAATCATCTGTTGGAGGGCATCTTTTTATTTAGGTGTAACAAACATGGTTAATGCACCAGAAACTGATGAATTAAGTGCTAAAATAATTGTTAACAC